AACCCACCTACAGGATGATAACCCACCTCCAGGATGATAACCCACCTCCAGGATGATAACCCACCTCCAGGATAACCCACCTCCAGGATGATAACCCACCTCCAGGATGATCACCCACCTCCAGGATGATAACCCACCTCCAGGATGATAACCCACCTCCAGGATGATAACCCACCTCCAGGATGATAACCCACCTCCAGGATGATCACCCACCTCCAGGATGATAACCCACCTCCAGGATAACCCACCTCCAGGATGATAACCCACCTCCAGGATGATAACTCACCTCCAGGATGATAACCCACCTACAGGATGATAACCCACCTCCAGGATGATAACCCACCTCCAGGATGATAACCCACCTCCAGAATAACCCACCTCCAGGATGATAACCCACCTCCAGGATGATAACTCACCTCTAGGATGATAACCCACCTCCAGGATGATAACTCACCTCCAGGATGATAACCCACCTCCAGGATGATAACCCACCACCAGGATGATAACCCACCTCCAGGATGATAACCCACCTCCAGGATAACCTACCTCCAGGATGATAACCCACCTCCAGGATGATAACTCACCTCCAGGATGATAACCCACCTCCAGGATGATAACCCACCACCAGGATGATAACCCACCTCCAGGATGATAACCCACCACCAGGATGATAACCCACCTACAGGATAACCCACCTCTAGGATGATAACCCACCTCCAGGATAACCCACCTCCAGGATAACCCACCTCCAGGATGATAACCCACCTACAGGATGATAACCCACCTCCAGGATGATAACCCACCTCCAGGATAACCCACCTCCAGGATAACCCACCTACAGGATGATAACCAACCTCCAGGATGATAACACCTCCAGGATGATAACCCACCTCCAGGGTGATAACCCACCTCCAGATAACCCTCTCCCCGGGTGATAACCCACCTCCAGGATGATAACCCACCTCCAGATGATAACCCACCTCCAGATAACTCACCTCCAGGATGATAACCCACCTCCAGGATGATAACCCACCTCCAGGATGATAACCCACCTCCAGGATAACCCACCTCCAGGATGATAACCCACCTACAGGATAACCCATCTTCAGGATGATAACCCACCTCCAGGATGATAACCCACCTCCAGGATGATAACCCACCTCCAGGATGATAACCCACCTCCAGGATGATAACCCACCTCCAGGATGATAACTCACCTCCAGGATGATAACCCACCTCCAGGATGATAACCCACCTCCAGGATGATAACCCACCTCCAGGATGATAACCCACCTCCAGGATGATAACTCACCTCAGGATGATAACTCACCTCCAGGATGATAACCCACCTCCAGGATGATAACCCACCTCCAGGATGATAACCCACCTCCAGGATAACACCTCCAGGATGATGACTCACCTCCAGGATGATAACCCACCTCCAGGATAACCCACCTCCAGGATGATAACCCTCCTCCAGGATGATAACCCACCTCCAGGATGATAACTCACCTCCAGGATGATAACCCACCTACAGGATGATAACCCACCTCCAGGATGATAACCCACCTCCAGGATGATAACCCACCTCCAGGATAACCCACCTCCAGGATGATAACCCACCTCCAGGATGATAACCCACCTCCAGGATGATAACCCACCTCCAGGATGATAACCCACCTCCAGGATGATAACCCACCTCCAGGATGATCACCCACCTCCAGGATAACCCACCTCCAGGATAACCCACCTCCAGGATGATAACCCACCTCCAGGATGATAACTCACCTCCAGGATGATAACCCACCTACAGGATGATAACCCACCTCCAGGATGATAACCCACCTCCAGGATGATAACCCACCTCCAGAATAACCCACCTCCAGGATGATAACCCACCTCCAGGATGATAACTCACCTCTAGGATGATAACGCACCTCCAGGATAACTCACCTCCAGGATGATAACCCACCTCCAGGATGATAACCCACCACCAGGATGATAACCCACCTCCAGGATGATAACCCACCTCCAGGATAACCTACCTCCAGGATGATAACCCACCTCCAGGATGATAACTCACCTCCAGGATGATAACCCACCTCCAGGATGATAACCCACCACCAGGATGATAACCCACCTCCAGGATAACCCACCTCCAGGATAACCTACCTCCAGGATGATAACCCACCTACAGGATAACCCACCTCTAGGATGATAACCCACCTCCAGGATAAGCCACCTCCAGGATAACCCACCTTCAGGATGATAACCCACCTACAGGATGATAACCCACCTCCAGGATGATAACCCACCTCCAGGATAACCCACCTCCAGGATAACCCACCTACAGGATGATAACCAACCTCCAGGATGATAACACCTCCAGGATGATAACCCACCTCCAGGGTGATAACCCACCTCCAGGATAACCCATCTCCAGGATGATAACCCACCTCCAGGATGATAACCCACCTCCAGGATGATAACCCACCTCCAGGATAACTCACCTCCAGGATGATAACCCACCTCCAGGATGATAACCCACCTCCAGGATGATAACTCACCTCCAGGATAACCCACCTCCAGGATGATAACCCACCTACAGGATAACCCATCTTCAGGATGATAACCCACCTCCAGGATGATAATCCACCTCCAGGATAACCCACCTCCAGGATGATAACCCACCTCCAGGATGATAACCCACCTCCAGGATGATATCCCACCTCCAGGATGATAACTCACCTCCAGGATGATAACCCACCTCCAGGATGATAACCCACCTCCAGGATGATAACCCACCTCCAGGATGATAACCCACCTCCAGGATGATAACCCACCTCCAGGATGATAACTCACCTCCAGGATGATAACCCACCTCCAGGATGATAACCCACCTCCAGGATGATAACTCACCTCCAGGATGATAACTCACCTCCAGGATGATAACCCACCTCCAGGATAACCCACCTCCAGGATGAAAACCCACCTCCAGGATAACCTACCTCCAGGATGATAACCCACCTACAGGATGATAACCCACCTCTAGGATGATAACCCACCTCCAGTATGATAACCCACCTCCAGGATAACCCACCTCCAGGATGATAACCCACCTACAGGATGATAACTCACCTCCAGGATGATAACCCACCTCCAGGATGATAACCCACCTCCAGGATAACCCACCTCCAGGATAACCCACCTACAGGATGATAACCAACCTCCAGGATGATAACCCACCTCCAGGATGATAACCCACCTCCAGGATAACCCACCTCCAGGATAACCCACCTACAGGATGATAACCAACCTCCAGGATAACACCTCCAGGATGATAACACCTCCAGGATGATAACCCACCTCCAGGGTGATAACCCACCTCCAGGATGATAACCCACCTCCAGGATAACCCACCTCCAGGATGATAACCCACCTCCAGGATGATAACCCACCTCCAGGATGATAACTCACCTCCAGGATGATAACCCACCTCCAGGATGATAACCCACCTCCAGGATAACTCACCTCCAGGATGATAATTCACCTCCAGGATGATAACCCACCTCCAGGATGATAACCCACCTCCAGGATGGTAACCCACCTCCAGGATGATAACCCACCTCCAGGATGATAACCCACCTCCAGGATGGTAACCCACCTCCAGGATGATAACCCACCTCCAGGATGATAACCCACCTCCAGGATGGTAACCCACCTCCAGGATGATAACCCACCTCCAGGATGATAACCCACCTCCAGGATGATAACCCACCTCCAGGATGATAACCCACCTCCAGGATGGTAACCCACCTCCAGGATAACCCACCTCCAGGATGGTAACCCACCTCCAGGATGATAACCCACCTCCAGGATGATAACCCACCTCCAGGATAACCCACCTCCAGGATGATAACCCACCTCCAGGATGATAACCCACCTCCAGGATGATAACCCACCTCCAGGATGATAACCCACCTCCAGGATGGTAACCCACCTCCAGGATGATAACCCACCTCCAGGATGATAACCCACCTACAGGATGATAACCCACCTCCAGGATGATAACCCACCTCCAGGATGATAATTCACCTCCAGAATGATAACCCACCTCCAGGATGATAACCCACCTCCAGGATGGTAACCCACCTCCAGGATGATAACCCACCTCCAGGATGATAACCCACCTCCAGGATGATAACCCACCTCCAGGATGATAACCCACCTCCAGGATGATAACCCACCTCCAGGATAACCCACCTCCAGGATGATAACCCACCTCCAGGATGATAACCCACCTCCAGGATGATAACCCACCTCCAGGATGATAACCCACCTCCAGGATGATAACCCACCTCCAGGATGGTAACCCACCTCCAGGATGATAACCCACCTCCAGGATGATAACCCAACTACCTGTGGTTATGGACAGGTAGTCACACACATGCACAGGAGCTATGAATCGAACCCTGCAATCACAATTGGGTGAGTACACCGTGAACCTAGTAGCGAATAGCAAAGAGACGGGGCCAGGAGCCTGGACTCGACCCCTGTAACCACAAATAGGCGAATACAAATAGATGAGTACACACAAACAGTGGAGGCAGGATCCATACACAGCTTTAAGAAGAGGTATGATAAAGCTCTTGGAGAAGGGGGGAAAGTGGACCTAGTAGCGACCAACGAAGAAACAGAGCCTGGAGCTGTGAATCGACCCTTGCAACCACGTATAGGTGGGTACACTCACACATACACAATTGGAAGTTGAGGACTCTGATGAGTCACAGGGATGTTAGGAAGTATTTCTTCATAGAGTTGTCAGCAATTGGAATAACCTAGAAAGTGACGTAGTGGAGGCAGGAACCATACATAGTTTTAAGCTCAGGGAGCAGGGAGAGAGAGGACCCAGTAGCAATCAGTTAAGAGGCGGGCCCAGGAACTATGAATCAACCCCTGCAACCACAAATAGGTGAGTACCCACACCCTTGCTACCATACCTTCCTTCTTCATACCAGCTCGGATACACTTGCGGAGTCTGCAGTAGCGACACTGGTTCCTCTTGTCCTTGTCCACTGTACAGCTTCTGTTGAACCTGAGGGAGGCGCAGAGGGAGGTCACTCTCAACACAGTACTATGGAAACCATTGTTTTTTGAGACAGTTACGCACATATGGTAATGAGAGAGGGTGAATGGCAGTTTGAGAATAACATAGGAACGTACGCTAATTTCTACCCTAAGTTGTTATCCAACTACACGGTGGCCTGGTGGGTAAAGCTCCCGCTTCACACACGGAGGGCCCGGGTTCGATTCCCGGCGGGTGGAAACATTTCGACACGTTTCCTTACACCTGTTGTCCTGTTCACCTAGCAGCAAATAGGTACCTGGGTGTTAGTCGACTGGTGTGGGTGGCATCCTGGGGGACAAGATTAAGGACCACAATGGAAATAAGTTAGACAGTCCCCGATGACGCACTGACTTTCTTGGGTTATCCTGTGTGGCTAACCCTCCGGGGTTAAAAATCCGAACGAAATCTTATCTAACTTAGAGAACCAGGTAATAAGACAAGAAGGGGGGAGGTGGAAAGAGATATCAGAGAAAATAGGAACATTACATGTGTTAAATAGGAAGAATGCACCAGCAAGTACTGGACCAATCACACAGAAAATAAAGAAACTACACCAGCTGATCTCGACGATATGGGACTAGAAAATGCGACAGTAGTGAATACTAAAGAAGATATCAGTGAAGTACCTGCAAATTGTAGTGTGATTCTTTCGACGAGGGACAGAAAGAATCCTTTACAACCGTCACAGGAGTGCTCACATTAATGCTTACCAGTGCCTGTCCCCACAGAATGGCACACGCCAAGTGTGCCCACACTTCCCACCACCATCTCCCCGCTACCCACGATCGATACCCCTACACCACACAGTGATGTTACACTACCTGTGGAGTAAGGGGTAAAAGGTGGCTAATTAATACGAAAGCAAAAAGATACGATGGTTAATTGGGGTTAAAATCTATCTACTAAATGATGGTTGTGAAGGCTGAATGTCACCTCGACACCACAAGTCACGAATAATACTTAAAATACTGATTAAACTCCCAGTGTATATACACTGGGAGATACACAACTCCCAGTGTATATACACTGGGAGATACACAACTCCCAGTGTATATACACTGGGAGATACACAACTCCCAGTGTATATACACTGAGAGATACGCAACTCCCATTGTATATACACTGAGAGATACACAACTCCAGTGTATATACACTGAAGATACGCAACTCCCAGTGTATATACACTGGAGATACACAACTCCAGTGTATATACATGGGAGATACACAACTCCCAGTGTATATACACTGGAGATACACAACTCCCAGTGTATATACACTGAGAGATACACAACTCCCAGTGTATATACACTGGGAGATACACAACTCCCAGTGTATATACATTGGGAGATACACAACTCCCAGTGTATATACACTGCGAGATACACAACTCCCAGTGTATATACATTGAGAGATACACAACTCCCAGTGTATATACACTGAGAGATACACAACTCCCAGTGTATATACACTGGGAGATACACAACTCCCAGTGTATATACACTGGGAGATACACAACTCCCAGTGTATATACACTGAGAGATACACAACTCCCAGTGTATATACATTGGGAGATACACAACTCCCAGTGTATATACATTGGGAGATACACAACTCCCAGTGTATATACACTGAGAGATACACAACTCCCAGTGTATATACACATATGAGGAGATACACAACTCCCAGTGTATATACACTGGAGATACACAACTCCCAGTGTATATACATTGGAGATACACAACTCCCAGTGTATATACACTGAGAGATACACAACTCCCAGTGTATATACACAGAGATACACAACTCCCAGTGTATATACATTGGGAGATACACAACTCCCAGTGTATATACACTGAGAGATACACAACTCCCAGTGTATATACATTGGGAGATACACAACTCCCAGTGTATATACATTGGGAGATACGCAACTCCCAGTGTATATACATTGGGAAATACACAACTCCCAGTGTATATACACTGGGAGATACACAACTCCCAGTGTATATACACTGAGAGATACACAACTCCCAGTGTATATACATTGGGAGATACACAACTCCCAGTGTATATACACTGGGAGATACACAACTCCCAGTGTATATACATTGGGAGATACACAACTCCCAGTGTATATACATTGGGAGATACACAACTCCCAGTGTATATACACTGAGAGATACACAACTCCCAGTGTATATACATGGAGATACACAACTCCCAGTGTATATACATTGGGAGATACGAACTCCCAGTGTATATACATTGGAGATACACAACTCCCAGTGTATATACACATGGGGAGATACACAACTCCCAGTGTATATACACTGGGAGATACACAACTCCCAGTGTATATACACTGGGAGATACACAACTCCCAGTGTATATACGCGCCTTTGCAAATACGTTCCCTATGATAGTACTTCCTTGGACCTCCTCCTTTCTGCAACATTGCAAGCTCCTGATACGTTGATTGCAACACGAAAGGCCTAGAGGTATTCAACTCCTCCTGTAGTTGTTTTGCATCCTGAGGGACTAATTACCTCATCTTTGTATATACTACTACAGTCTTCCCGCTGTTTCCTTCTATTGATAAAGTGACTGGAGGGCGAAACATCTACAAATACAGACACCCAGATGTTGTACGTGTTTAATTCTTCGTAATAACAGTAAATAACTGTGACAAGTTGATGTACAAGACATGTTAATGAAATACTGTGATGAGTTCCGAAGGATTTCACCTACACAGTAGGCGTCTTCAGTCCGATGAATTAGTCTTGAGGTAGTCAGTCCCTCAGCGTTGAAGTTAACTGAAGAAGCCTGCTGTGTGGGCGATAAGTTCCTAAACTAACTACCCAAGGTTTGCACATGTTTAGCTACTAACCTTGTTGGTGAAGAACCGCTGAATTAGGCACGATGACTGAATGTGTGGGTGGAGCAAACATGGGCGTGGGTGGGGCCGACATAGGCGTGGGTGGGCCAATGGTACCCCCGGTGTTGGCACCGTTGCTGCTACTGTTGCTGTTGTAGGCCTGGGGAGAGGCCAAGGGTGGGCTGGTGGGGTGATATACCTGAGTTGGGGAGTTTAACACGGACACATGTCCCCCACCACAACCCATGTCCACATCAATGCGTGGCATACTCATCCTCCGTGGCTGGACACGCACCTCCTTGTCCAACGTCTTTGGCTTCACCTGCTCCACAAGGGCAAAAATTTAATCACAAGAAAATTAAAACATTTCGTTATTAGATATACCTGAAGGGATACCAGTCTGACAGAAGGGATACCAGTTTGACAAGGGATACCAGTTTGACAGAAGGGATACCAGTGTGACAGAATGTATACCAGTGTGCCAGAAGGGATACCAGGCTGACAGAAGGGATACCAGTCTGACAGAAGGGATACCAGTCTGACAGAAGGGATACCAGTTTGACAGAAGGTATACCAGTTTGACAGAAGGTATACCAGTGTGCCAGAAGGGATACCAGGCTGACAAGGGATAACAGTGTGCCAGAAGGGATACCAGTCTGACAGAAGGGATACCAGGCTGACAGAAGCGACACCAGTCTGACAGAAGGGATACCAGTCTGACAGAAGGGATACCAGGCTGACAGAAGGGATACCAGGCTGACAGAAGCGACACCAGTCTGACAGAAGGGATACCAGTCTGACAGGGATACCAGTCTGACAGAAGGGATACCAGTCTGACAGAAGGGATACCAGTCTGACAGAAGCGACACCAGTCTGACAGAAGGGATGCCAGTCTGACAGGGATACCAATCTGACAGAAGGGATACCAGTCTGACAGAAGGGATACCAGTCTGACAGAAGGGATACCAGTCTGACAGAAGGGATACCAGTCTGACAGAAGCGACACCAGTCTGACAGAAGCGAAACCAGTCTGACAGAAGGGATACGAGTCTGACAGAAGGGATACCAGTCTGACAGAATTGTTTGTAACCAGAGAACGCCGTAACCGATCGCCTTCAAACTCTCAGCACTGATTAACCAGGCTAATATTTCTAGAACTCTCAGCATGTACATGTGTCGCCTGGTTAATAACCAAGGGTAACCCAGAAAAGCCAGCCAGTCTGGAATATTTCTATACCTGGTATGTTCCATTTCCCAGGATGCAACCCACACCAGTTAATTAACACCCAGGTACCTGTTTACTGCTAGGTGAAGTGGCAGGTGTAAGGTGACTAACACCCAGGTACCTGTTTACTGCTAGGTGAAGTGGCAGGTGTAAGGTGACTAACACCCAGGTACCTGTTTACTGCTAGGTGAAGTGGCAGGTGTAAGGTGACTAACACCCAGGTACCTGTTTACTGCTAGGTGAATGGTAGTAGCAGGTGTAAGGTGACTAACACCCAGGTACCTGTTTACTGCTAGGTGAAGTGGTAGGTGTATAGTGAAGTATAGTGAAGGTGTATAGTGAAGTATAGTGAAGGTGTATAGTGAAGGTGTATAGTGAAGGTGTATAGTGAAGTATAGTGAAGGTGTATAGTGAAGGTGTATAGTGAAGTATAGTGAAGTATAGTGAAGGTGTATAGTGAAGGTGTATAGTGAAGTATAGTGAAGGTGTATATTGAAGGTGTATAGTGAAGGTGTATAGTGAAGGTGTATAGTGAAGTATAGTGAAGGTGTATAGTGAAGGTGTATAGTGAAAGTGTATAGTGAAGGTGTATAGTGAAGTATAGTGAAAGTGTATAGTGAAGGTGTATAGTGCAGTATAGTGAAAGTGTATAGTGAAGTATAGTGAAGGTGTATAGTGAAGGTGTATAGTGAAAGTGTATAGTGAAGGTGTATAGTGAAGTATAGTGAAGGTGTATAGTGAAGGTGTATAGTGAAAGTGTATAGTGAAGGTGTATAGTGAAGTATAGTGAAGGTGTATAGTGAAGTATAGTGAAGGTGTATTATGAAGTATAGTGAAGGTGTATAGTGAAGTATAGTGAAGGTGTATTATGAAGTATAGTGAAGGTGTATAGTGAAGTATAGTGAAGGTGTATTATGAAGTATAGTGAAGGTGTATAGTGAAGGTGTAGAGTGAAGGTGTATAGTGAAGGTGTAGAGTGAAGGTGTATAGTGAAAGTGTATAGTGAAGGTGTATAGCGAAGTATAGTGAAGGTGTATAGTGAAAGTGTATAGTGAAGGTGTATAGTGAAGTATAGTGAAGGTGTATAGTGAAGTATAGTGAAGGTGTATTATGAAGTATAGTGAAGGTGTATAGTGAAGGTGTAGAGTGAAGGTGTATAGTGAAGTATAGTGAAGGTGTATTATGAAGTATAGTGAAGGTGTATAGTGAAGGTGTATAGCGAAGTATAGTGAAGGTGTATAGTGAAGTATAGTGAAGGTGTATGAAGTATAGTGAAGGTGTATAGCGAAGTATAGTGAAGGTGTATAGTGAAGTATAGTGAAGGTGTATTATGAAGTATAGTGAAGGTGTATAGTGAAGGTGTATAGCGAAGTATAGTGAAGGTGTATAGCGAAGTATAGTGAAGGTGTATAGTGAAGGTGTATAGCGAAGTATAGTGAAGGTGTATAGTGATGAGGTGTATAGTGAAGTATAGTGAAGGTGTTCATAGTGAAGAATAGTGAAGTTGTATAGGGGAAGTATAGTGAAGGTGTATAGTGAAGTATAGTGAAGGTGTATATGAAGTATAGTGAAGGTGTATAGTGAAGGTGTATAGCGAAGTATAGTGAAGGTGTATAGTGAAGTATAGTGAAGGTGTATTATGAAGTATAGTGCGAAGGTGTATAGTGAGGTGTATATAGGAAGTATAGTGAAGAGTGTATAGCGAAGTATAGTGAAGGTGTATAGTGAAGGTGTATAGCGAAGTTAAGTGAGGTGTATATGAAGTATAGTGAAGGTGTATAAGTGAAGGTGTTATAGCGAAGTATAGTGATAGGTGATATAGCGAAGTTAGTGAAGGTGTATAGTGAAGGTGTATATGCGAAAGTATAGTGAAGGTGTATAGTGAAGTAAGTGAAGGGTATAGTGAAGGTGTATAGTGAAGGTGTATAGTGAAGTATAGTGAAAGGTGTATAGTGAAGTTAGTGAAGGTGTATAGTGAAGGTGTATAGTGAAGTATAGTGACGAGGTATTAGTGAAGGTGTATAGCGAAGTATAGTGAAGGTGTATAGTGAAGGTGTTATAGCGAAGTATAGTGAAGGTGTATAGTGAAGGTTGTTAGTGAAGGTGTATAGTGAAAGTGATATAGTGAAGGTGTATAGTGAAGTTAGTGAAGGTGTTATAGTGAAGTTTTTATTAGTGAAGGTATAGTGGAAGGTGTATTATGAAGTATAGTGATGTTATGCTGTAAGTGGTGTTATAGTAAGGTGTGAAGAGTGAGGTGTATAGTGAAAGTGTATGTGAAGGTGTATAGCGAGTATAGTGAGGTGTATAGTGCAAAGTTGGTATAGTGAAGGTGTATAGTGAAGTATAGTGAGGTGTTTATGTAAGTATAGTGAAGGTGTTATAGTGAAGTATAGTGAAGGTGTATTATGAAGTATAGTGAAGGTATATAGTGAAGGTGTAGAGTGAAGGTGTATAGTGAAAGTGTATAGTGAAGGTGTATAGCGAAGTATAGTGAAGGTGTATAGTGAAAGTGTATAGTGAAGGTGTATAGTGTAAGTGTATAGTGAAGGTGTATAGTGAAGTATAGTGAAGGTGTATTATGAAGTATAGTGAAGGTGTATAGTGAAGGTGTATAGTGAAGGTGTATAGTGAAAGTGTATAGTGAAGGTGTATACTGAAGTATAGTGAAGGTGTATAGTGAAGGTGTATAGTGAAGGTGTATAGCGAAGTATAGTGAAGGTGTATAGTGAAGGTGTATAGTGAAGGTGTATAGTGAAGTATAGTGAAGGTGTATAGTGAAGTATAGTGAAGGTGTATAGTGAAGTATAGTGAAGGTGTATAGTGAAGTATAGTGAAGGTGTATAGTGAAGGTGTATAGCGAAGTATAGTGAAGGTGTATAGTGAAGTATAGTGAAGGTGTATAGTAAAGGTGTATAGTGAAGTATAGTGAAGGTGTATAGTGAAGTATAGTGAAGGTGTATAGTGAAGGTGTATAGTGTAGGTATATAGTGAAGGTGTATAGTGAAGGTGTATAGTGAAGTATAGTGAAGGTGTATAGTGTAGGTATATAGTGAAGGTGTATAGTGAAGGTGTATAGTGAAGTATAGTGAAGGTGTATAGCGAAGGTGTATAGTGAAAGTGTATAGTGAAGGTGTATAGCGAAGTATAGTGAAGGTGTATAGTGAAAGTGTATAGTGAAGGTGTATAGTGAAAGTGTATAGTGAAGGTGTATAGCGAAGTATAGTGAAGGTGTATAGTGAAAGTGTATAGTGAAGGTGTATAGTGAAGTATAGTGAAGGTGTATAGTGAAGGTGTATACTTTTAAGGTGTATAGTGAAGTATAGTGAAGGTGTATAGTGAAGTATAGTGAAGGTGTATAGTGAAGTATAGTGAAGGTGTATAGTGAAGGTGTATATTAAAGGTGTATAGTGAAGACGTATAGTGAAGGTGTATAGTTAAGGTGTATAGTGAAGGTGTATAGTGAAGTATAGTGAAGGTGTATAGTGAAGTATAGTGAAGGTGTATAGTGAAGGTGTGTAGTGAAGGTGTATAGTGAAGGTGTGTAGTGACGATGATACCAAGAGCCGCCAGGAGTGGAGCAGTATAGTGACCATGGTACCAACAACAGCCGCCAGGATACAGCATTATACTGACCGTGGTACCAACAACAGCCGCCAGGAGTACTGCAGTATAGTGACCGTAGTACCAACAACAGCCCCCAGGAGTACAGCAGTATAGTGACCGTAGTACCAACAACAGCCGCCAGGAGTACTGCAGTATAGTGACCGTGGTACCAACAACAGCCCCCAGGAGTGCAGCAGTATAGTGACCGTAGTACCAACAACAGCCGCCGGGATGAGCGATATGACCCATGGTACCAAAAACAGCCCCAGGGTACTGCATATAGTGAAGCAATATAGGACCAATCCCAACAAAACCACCAAAATGCAGCATAAGTGATCATGGTACCAACAACCCCCGCCAGAGGCAGCATTTATGTCCCATGGACCAACAATAGCCACCAGGAGTCAGCAGTAAGTGACCGTGTACCAACAATGCCCCGGGATGCACAGTAAGTGACCGTGGAAACCAAACAATACCCCGGAGGGGACATA